CTCTCTCTCTCTCTCTCTCTCTCTCTCTCTCTCTCTCTCTCTCTCTCTCTCTCTCTCTCTCTCTCTCTCTCTCTCTCCCCCCGTCAAGATCATGACTCTCGATACATCCGCTACTGCTCAGATCTATTCCCTACTACCTAGCTGTGCGGCTATGACTGCCTTCCTCCCTCAACACAGCGCCGCCCAGCCAGGGCTCTAGCGCCAGCCACTCGCAGATAGCGCACAAGCGCCATCAGCACTTCCACACTTCTTGCAAATGAGTGATCTGCCCGATATGAAGCTGGCCAGTCCTTATATTGACTTGGACTGCCTCTGCTTCTCTTGGCTTGACTTGCACCCGGTACTGGCTGCCCGCGGCTTGTTTGCTTTTTTAAGTTTTTTTTAAGTTCAGAATGTTGAGGCCCGGTACCTCCCTGGGTTTTCCTGGGTGTGCTGCTGCTTTGGGTCTGGGGGTCGGGACCTTTGCCTGTTCGTCGTGACCCTTGCCTGTGGAATATGATTTTTGACTGCGAGATGTAACTCTTGCCTGTGGGACACGGCTTCTGACTGTGAGACGCGACTTTTGCCTCTTGGATGTGACTGTTGATAGGGTACCTGTTGGACTTGATCTCTGGGGTACCCGACGTAACCTTTCTGAAACAGGCCGATCTGGCCTCTTTTGGCCTGGGGACTTGATCGTGGAATGCCTTTCAGGAGGAGAGAGAGAGAGAGAGAGAGAGAGAGAGAGAGAGAGAGAGAGAGTCAAACAGAACTGTGCAGTAAGCCGTAGGCAGAGACGGAGAAGAGGACAACAAACGAGGGGCTGTGACAAACTGTTTCGTCGGAGTTTCACCAACTCATCAGGAGGCTGAACCCTTATATATATATATCGTCAAATAGAACTGCCCGGTAAACCGTAGGCAGAGAGGGAGAAGAGGACAACAAACGAGGGGCTGTGACAAACTGTTTCGTCGGAGTTTCACCGACTCTATATCCTCATATGTACATGTGTACGTATATATAGTCAATGTATGCTGGCAGACTCGGTGCGAAAATGTCGTGCTTGCTGTGTATGTACTATGTACATCCTAAAACCGAAGTGTGCTTCATCTCAGGGCGTGCTCACAGCAGGTCTACCTTAAATGTATCTGACTCAGAAGCTGACTGCATTCACTGCCGTACCTGGATGTATCTGACCGCATTTACGTCCGTAAACGAGTAAAAGAAGTCCTACCGTCTTCCCCCCCCGAGCACAACGCACCCTTATTTTGGCCGTATCTGGCCGGAAATATAGCTTGTATACATTCATTTTTAGGGTGCGTTATGTTTGGGCGAAGACGGTAGTTTGAGTATGCCCTTAGACAGAGATTCAATAAGTGTTGACATGGCAACAAGTCGGGATGGGAGTCATGTGGCACAGACAGTGTTTGCTGTTGGTGTCGAGCATGGTGTCTGCGGTGTGCGACCCTCTTTCCATGGGTGTCTGTACAGTGCGACAGCTGGGAGCGACTTTGCAAGCGAGAGATGGTATCAGTTGAGGCTTCAGAGACTGCGGATCTTGAGACCTACCAAGAAAGGAAAAGGCAAGGCCAAGAAAGGAAACTTGACTTAAAGGCGGGCCAAGAAAGGAAAGCCGGCATCTGGGTGGTTGCATCTACATGTGATGCACAGAGACCTACCGAGAAAGGCAAGGCAAGGGCGAAGAAAGGCAAGGCAGGCCAAGAAAGGAAAGGCAGCATCTGATCGGGTTGCTCTACATGTGATGCACCTGGTCGGGAATTTCGTAATTGTGCAGGTCATTCTGCAGGTAATTATGCAGGCATGGTGTCAGAAGATTAACCAGACCGGAAACTTAAGGGACCGGAAACTTAAGGGGCTATGTTCAATGCTCCCAGACGCACGGATTGATTTGATTGAACAGCTTTTTTTTTTGCCCTGAATTAACTGTGCTGTTATTATTCAGTCCAGTAACACTAGAGGCATTGGATCCCTTTTTTTTTTTTTTTTTTTTTTTTTGAGGGAAATAATAATAAAAATGGCCGTATTTTGAAAAGGAAAAAAAAAAAGAAAAAGGTGGAAAAAAAAGGCCCCGAGTTAGAAAGGTAAAAAAACCCCATTTTTTAGGCCGTTTTTTTTTTTTTTTTTTTTTTTTTTTTTTTTTTTTTTTTTTTTTTAAGAGGCATGGTATCCCATGGGATCCCTCCTTTCCATATATATATTTTTTATTGGCTAGGATGCCTCCCTGCCAAGCCCCAACCTTGTTCTTCATTAGGGGATACCTTCATGGGGATACCTTGAGACTACTACATTCTCAAGTCACTGTGGCTGAACTATGAACACTTGGTGATGTCGTGGTTTTGGCCACCGTGACGTCCTTTTTCTTCATTAGGGACTAAGTCTTGCGCCAGTGGTGAGTGCTGGGTGGGTTAACCAGGGTTACCAATTTTAGCCCCGGGCTTGGGGTCGGTATTTGGTTAGGGTTTGGGATGGGTAGTGAGTAGGGGTCAGGATTAACCAGGGCAAAGCGGTTGGGGTAAGGCTGCTGGGAGGGGGAACTAATTTGCTAGGTGGGGTTAGATAGGGGTATCCGGTTGAGGTCCTGTTCAAGATGGATGAATTAAGCAGTGGGTGGCGGGATTAGCAAGGCCAAAGGAGTTGGGGTGAGGCTTCTGGCAGTGTGAGGAGGTTGGGATGGGGTTAGACATGGATATTGGGTTGGGTGCGGATAGTTGGAAGGGGTGGGGTGGGGGGGGGGGGGGGAGGTATTTTGTTGGGGTCCTGTTCGGGATGGATAAGCAGTGGGGGTCGGGATTCGCCAGTGTAAAGTGGTCCAGATGAGGTCTGGCAGGATGAGGAGGTTGGAATGGGGTAAGACATGGCAATTCTGTTGGGTAGGGGGTAGCTGGGGGGCGGGGGCGGGGGTGGGGGCGGGGGGGTGTTGTGTATTTGGTTGGATAGGGTTCGGCATGGATAAGCCATTGGGGTCGGGATCGCGGATTGTAAAGAGGTGTGAACTAGGTTTTGGCAGGGTCAGCTGGCTCGGCTGGTGGGGTTAAACATGGGAATTTGGTTGGTGTCTAGGGGTTAGTTGTGGCACGTCTACTGCGAATCTGGCCGGGTTAATGGATGTAGGCTTGTTAAACAGGGGAGAATGACATGTGTCCAGGTTGGGATTGGGTTAGGGATGGATAGGCAGTTGGGATCGGGATTAGTCACGCCTCCTTTGTTCAGACGAGGGTATTTTTGGTGGGGTGGTTGCTGCCTGGTTCGGGGTTTACCGTGGGTAATGGCTTGGGTTAGAACTTTAGGGGTTACACTTGGGTAGTCTACTAACCTTGGTTGGTTGATTAAACCGGCCGGGGGGGGGGGGGTTGTCAAGCTCAGGCAAGTGACATGCTTAACCTATGGTCTTGACCCTTGAAAGTGTAGAGTCATTCTTTTCCATCCATCGTTAACTACAAATGTTGACGAGGGTTACAAAGTTTTGGGTCCTTTTTTTTTTCTTTTTTTTTTTTTGGGTCCTAAGTTCTGTGGAACTTGCACCGCAAGCGTGAGCTGCGCGGCGAACTGAATGAAGGAGAAGCCCCTTCTGCCATGTTTAGAGTGGGGCATCCATCGTCTGAGAAGAGGTTACAATGTTTTTGTTTTTTTTTTTTTTTTTTTTTTTTTTTTTTTTTTTTT